TTGAAATATCAAGGGAGTGAATTGTTATATTTACGATTCTTTTTTTTATAGCGATATTTCTGCTTCTTTTTCTTTATATTTTCTCATTTGTTATTTGGGGATTTCAATACTCACCTTTGTTCCTTATTTTTTTTCTTGGTTCATTTTCTGTGGCAAAATACATTCTTTTTATGTTTCCTGCTAAGGAACTTTACACGTAATGCTTACTCAAGTCCAGTGGTGTAGTATGAAGGTGATTTAATTGATTTTTTGAACTCCAACATTCAATGAATTTGGTGCATTGCTGTTCGAAATTTTACAGCGGTTTTGACCCTCCAAAGCTTTGTCAAGGTGGAGATGATGCTCTGTCAATACATTAATTTGTGCATTTGACTTAAATCCAAATGCAACATACATTGTGACTTCAAACTATTGACTGAGGTGTTCTTGCTACACCACTGAAACAGCTTCACACTTATAATGCATTTAAGCTATTTTCCAAAACGACATGCTCGAGTTGACCCTTAATGGAAGTGTTGTAATGAAATTTTCTCCATTTTCTTTCCTTATTCCTTAATTCGTTTTAACTGATTAACATTTCTGTTGATTTAAATAAATAATGAAATGAAAATTACAATTTTAAGAGAAAACTTTTCGGCATTTAATTGGATGTAAAGTTAAAACAAAATAAAAGGCTTAGGGAAAACTTATTTCAATAATGCTGTTTTCATTCTGGTTGTTAACGGGCATGCTATCTGATTTTATTCAAGCTTTCGCATGCTCATGCCTCTTCTATTAATCTCTGTCGATTGCTCTTACTACAGCAGATGGAATGAGAATTATTTTTGTGTTATGGTTCTTTCAACATACTGGTAGATGAGTTTTAAGTCGTGCTTTTGGATTAAGAGATTTATTGGGTATACATTTATTTGAAAAGTTTTCTTTTGTGTAGTTTTTTGGAGGTTAGAAAAATGAAAACTTTGGTTTTTAGTGATCTTAATTCCTCAGAATGACTATGAAATGGTTAAAAATTAAAATTTTGTATTTTCTGACATGATTAGCTTTAATTCTCATGTAAAAATGCCATCCCAAGTTATGAATATATTCAAAAAACAAAGCTAAAGTAATGTTTAGAAAAAATTCAACAAGTTTGAACAAATTTAAAAAATTTAAAATCAAATTTTTATAATCATCAAGCATAAATCTTAAATATTCAGCTTGTTCACAAATTTCTTTTCATCTTCGTTTATAATTTAATTTAAAAAATTATGAAATAAAGTTAATGTCATTAAAACGCTTAATAAATAATTTATTAATTGAAAATTCCTCGAATTCATCTTTTCAGGATGTTCATGAATTAATTACGATTCGATTCTTTTGACACTGTCATTTTCAATTAATTTTCGCTTTTGAAATTTTCCACTCGTCAAATTTAAATATTGGGAACAAGAGATGACATAATGATTGCTAGGACACAACTTCACTATCTGTTTTAAAATAAATGTTGCGAATTCAAGCATATGAAAGTTATCTACATGAAAGATCAAAGCTGTAATTTACAGTCATCCTTTTTGATATTTACGAAATTTTTATTTGAAAATGTTCATTCAGTTTTAAATTTTAAAATTTTATTTATGTCATTAAGGGTGAAAAAAAGCAAATAAAAGTTTTATGCAATGATTTTGGTGAAATTATAAAGCTTGTTTTACTGAAAATATGAAGAAAATTAATGTCACTGCTCTTTTAAATGCTATGAATCTTCAAAGGACTGTGCACTAGTGGTTTGTGTTTATAGAATAGAATAAATTTTAAAGTTAGGAATCGATTTGGTAAAAGAACATGTTGTCAGGTAATTGTCAGAAGATGAGGCTGTTTTGTTTAATAATAAAGTTTTGGCTAACGAAATCCTATCTTATTGATAAATTTTGAACTTTAACAACCTTTGGCTAAGATCTTTAAAATTAAACAATGTGCAACAATGATTTTGAATTTTAAGACTTTCCTTGTGATTCAAGAATCTGCGTTAAAATGGCAAAACACAAAAATTATGTTGCCATAATTGATGAAAAGGTTATTAAGAGTTTAATGCTTGAAGGATTCCTTTTATCTCTACCAAACCTTCTACGAAGGTACGAAAATCTTGTTATAATTTTATGAAACAGCAACCTTTATTATTTTTATATTGACTTGAAAACAATTTCTGTTTAATAAGTTCATTAAATATTCATTTTATGAGACTTGTCCCCAATTTTGCAATAAAATTCAAAAATGACATCCATAGTTTCAATTTATTCATAGCCATAACATTTTGGCAATAAAAAAAGCTCCAAGAGGTCTCGTTAGAAACATTTGAAAATGAATATTTGAATATCTGATATGTGCGAGTATCAGAAGTCATTTTTCATTTTTTTACTTATTTTGTGAAGCTTCTTTAATTAAGAATTCAGTATTTTATGTTACAACAGTAACATAGAAAAAAGATCCTATGGATTACATGATTTCACAAACATATGAAATTTCAAAAGAAGTCGCTGAGAATGTTTTTGGAAGAAATATCTTACATCCTTTATTGCAAATTCCATTTTCATCTTCTTTATTTCGACTGTTTGTTTGTAAAAAGATCTGAAGGATTTTTCATTATGTCTAATTGAACATCTAGACTCAAAGATAAATTAATTTTGTTTTTGTTTCCTTAGAATGAACAATAGAGGCAATAATTTTTCTATCCGAATCACCAATTTAAAGAATTTAGCTGCCGTCTTCCTATTTTAATTGTAGTAGCTTTCAAGAAACTTAAAATGGCGCAAATATTGTTCCTGGTTTTAACCAACCCACAATGAATATATTTTTTTGGAGGAAATTTCTCAAAATCTTTTTTTATGTACAGCCAACAAAATTTATAGAGAATCTGATAAAAACAATTCCCTTCCATACTTCTTATTCATTCCGAAAAAGGTCATTTAAATAAATCAGCATTAAATTAGATGAATAATTTAGTTCTGGCTACACTCAATTCAATTTACAAAGTGCTTTCCTAATGTTACTCTACAGAGAAAGGTTTCTAAAATTGATTTCTGGCTTCAAACAATTGCCTTCCCCTGTTTTTTTTCTTATGAGTATCAATATGCTACAAATGCTCTTCCAATTCAATCAATCCTGCTGAAATTCCTGCTTGCTCATCAATTTTTTGTAGACAAATTCCCCCCTTCATATTACATTTCCTAGAAACGTAGCCAAATGATTATATAGTCAAGAGTTGTCATGAACATCAATAGCAAATCATGCATGTGCAGACACTAAAGAGATATTTCAACTTTGATGACTGCAATGCGATTCTTTCCGTTCTGATTCATATTTATTTTCAGAAACTCATCATTTATCTTGCTACAATTCTAAGTTCTCTTCTATCAGCTTATATTGCAGCTCATACATAAAACATCAATTGAAATTCGATACAGATCCTCATTTGTCATTTGACTGGAAACAAATCAACTCACCATCTCTCACTTGCTTTTATGCTGCCATATTAATGTCTGTAGAATATCTTGTTGAAGTAAATCAATATAATTTTCTATGTTAAAGGCACGATGATTGTATTTCTTCTTATTACATGTCTAACTTGTCGCATTGAGAATGAGGTTTCTGCTTTAAACGATTATTGCTTTGTGTCACATTATAGAGAAGCTTTCTCGTTTGAAACTTACGCGATTCCTTAACGCCAAAATTTTAAAAATTGGTGTTGATATTTTGGCAAATTGACTCAATGTTTGTTGTGTTATTGATTGAGAAGTTTGTAAATTGAAGCCTAGTGATTATTTCTGAAGATGTGGCTGATAAAAAATAGATCAAAATAGCTCTTTGCTGAGATTCACTGTAGCAGGTTTTTATTTGCATCTTTGGACTAAAGACTTTACAATCATTTCGACACTATGGCGCCTTTAAGAACAATAAAATGCCCCTTTTGAGTGATATACAGATAAGAATAAGTAGTAGTAACCAGACTGTGAAGAACATGCTTTTATCCATTACAGTCCTCCTTCCCTATTCAACAATTTAGTGTAAGTAAATCCTCAATCCAGAAAAATCATTTCAACAATCTCTTTTTTGCTGAATCAATTTCGTTATTGTCTAAAACAAAAAAATGTGCTGATGCTGTGCATCTTAATATTTTACCCACAATGACTCTTCAACTTTTCACACAGTTGCGTAAGCATTCAGCAAAATAAAATCACATAAAGAAATCTGAATTTTCCTATAGCATTGGCATAAAAGCAAAGCAGTTTTAATGTAATTCGTGTATTGTCAATTCCCCTATGGTAACAGTCAGATACAAACAGCTTTTCATCCTTCTTCTTACCTACAATTTTTATCAATATGATTCCTTCCTTCACATCTTCAATACTCCTATATTAAATTAGTTCCTTCATCTTGCTTTTATTAAATTTTTTTTTCTGTCATTTTTATTAAATGATAAAGATGCCGTGTCATCATGATGATGATATGAGCTTACAATACGATTGTGATGTGATTGAAAAATCTGTTAAACCAGTTTTGTGTGAATGTGATGCTTTGAAAGCTCTTGAAGAATGGAATAAGAAGTTTAAAGTGAAATTGAAATGAGGAATTGAGGTTGGGTTAGTGACGATTTTTAAGAGATTAAAATTGTGGATTTTTTGAAGGTTTAATTGAAATGAATATTCATCCTTTGATGATAATCTTTTTAGAACCGAAAAAAGCTCTTATTATGTAGGTATTTCATAAGAAATCCCTTCTGGCTATGTCCTTTAAGACAGAACATACCGAATGAAGCTGTGAAATTATTATTTTAATGAAATACCGTCAAAATACAATTTAGATGGTAAAATCGTCAATTTCTTCGTGAATATTTGTGGGGGAAGCTAAGATTCTTTTCACCCTACACAAAATTCTATTAAATCTATTAAAGAACAATTTAACCATTTAACAAATTTGTACTCCTTAATATACATTTATTACTAAAATTAGTTAAATTAATTACAATTCACACTTATTCAAAATTCTTAATCTATAAAATCTGTAGAAACTCTATCATCATGATTTAAGAATTCATTAAAATTTAAATCTTGAAAATTAAAACTATTTTTAACATCATTCTCGACATCAGGCATTGTATTGCTACTACTTTCATTTTGCATAATAGAATTGACAGTAGCTGCCAAAATTTGACACGCCTCGGCACTTCCAGCTGATGTATTTATGCAATATCCACTGACGCTGATCCTTCTGTTGGGTTCATGACGAAAGCATCGAAAAAGATTTAGAAATGCTTTACGGAATCCCAGAGACATGAAACAGTACGTGATAGGATTACAGCAAGAGGATGAATATGCCAATAACTGGAAGAAACTTATGGCCGTATAGCCTAAATGCTGATATACTGCCTTTGGATCAAACAGAGCTATCGTATTGATTATATATAATGGTGTCCAACATATGAAGAATTCGATGACAACAACAAAAAGCATTTTAATAACACGACGCTTATTTAATAGACTCTTCTCAGGATTCGATCTGTAACGAAAGCAGTAAATAAAAGAGAAAAAAATTCTTATTAAATAAAAAAGGAAAGGAAGCAGAGTGTAAGATAGAATTATGAATGAATGTAGGATGATGAAAGTAAATTGTATTAGGTTTTTGCGTTGAAAAGAAGCCTTGCCTTTTTCTGGGTGCTTTGTTATCGAGGAAAAATATGAATTCAAATAGAGCATGAAAAATTACGCAAAAGAAAAATTTTCTCAAAAATTCAATTTACTTATTTAAAGGAAATATGGATAATATCTCGAAGGCGGAAGACATTTTTAATCTGATCGAATTTTATTTCTTATTTGACACTAAGCTTTTGTGTCAACAGATGTTATTTTAATTTATTGTGGGAAGATGATGTAAATCTTATGCTGGATTTTTAATTTATTTCATTTTCATCTCAATATTGGTTTAAATTTAGTTTGGATTTTCCATTTTGTCATGACACACAAATTACATTGAGAATGTAAGAAATTTTAATTGAATTTTAATTAAACATGCATGTTCATATAGCCCTGATGTAAGGATAACGTTCTATGTAAATACACAAACTAATCAATTGATTCGTTCAATATCGTAAAATACAGCTCACAAGACACTTGAATCAATTCAAAGCATAATGATTAGAGTTCATGAATGAATTCTGATAGGAAGTTGAACTTTAATTATCCATCTGAGCGATGTGTTGTCAGAACAACCCAATATTTTAATTAAATCAAATTGAATGTTTGTTGGTTGGTTGGGAAGTATTTGGTTGGTTTTGAGTTATTCATGATAAGTGAGAATCTGAACTTTGTTGCATGTTTGTAAGTATACAGACATTTTAATTAATTTTTTGTGAGTAATGTCACATCTATGTGTAATTACTCTAGTTTCTCTTGAACATCATTATGTTGAATTCCAAATAAACTTAATTTATTAACTACTGAAAAGATCTTTTTTCTTTGTGCTCGTCCCCCTCTTCACCAGAACATCATAAGTGAACAATCCCGTTGTAAAATCAATTTTGAATAATTTGTTTACTTCATTCTATACAAAGAAGAAAAAGAAGCAATTTCTAAAGAAAACATTCGTCTAAAAAATGCTTTTCAACATTTTTTTCTTCTTTAAATAAAATTTTCATCTTTTTCTTTAGATTTCTTCATCATCAGCCTCATAATAATACTTGTTTGAAACTTTTATGCTTGCTCATAAACATAACTTTGTGGATTGATTAACGACGATGATACGAAGAAGCAAAGTTTGAAAGAAAACAAAAGAAGTCGAGGATAAAAAGAAGAAAAACGTATACAAAAAAAAAATTATTTTATCAACGATCTGATTGAGACATATGTAGGGTAGTTCATTGACTACTTTAGCATCCCGGGATATGCTTTAAATGCATTGAAATATTTGCATAAAAAAATTGGAACTCTATAATTTAATTTAAATTTCTTTACATCATAAATTTTATTATAATTTGCAGACTTTTTGTAAAAAATAGTCTTTTGGATACCCTAAAGCATGTAAAATCACCAGTTTTCGAAGGAATTAATTAACCAACTAAGCATTAAGAGATCTGTTATCAGCACATGATTTACTTCATAAACTTTCTAAGTTATTTATGCTTCTAGAACTTGACACATTCACTGTCAGCGAATAATTCTTAGCTAGTCAACATTATGCGTAGTCATTAAAGCATACCAGATTATTTTTTGGATTATATGGAAAAGTAGATTGTTCCGCAAAGGAAATTAAAATCAGAAAGTTTAAATCATTTTTTCGAATTGCTTCAGGACATCATAAAAGTCGGCCTAAAATTATTCTCTATTTAAATTTGTTGTGGTATTTAAAGCAGTTATTAAGGATCAGGAATAAAGTGCTGAAAATTGAAAAAAAAGTTATTTTAATTTATCCTGAGGCGATGGATTTCATGCCAATTTGGAAGAACAGGGAAAATTGTTTGAAAGTAATATTTAAGGTAAGCACAGTTATGTCATTTACGAGTTTGATTTCGTTTATAAAAATTTCTGAATAGAACAAGTCGGTAAATCAACAAAAAATCCATCTCTTAAATTAAGAAAAAAAAAGAAATCCTGAAATGTATTCAACGTTAATAATAATGCTACAATTATTCTTGCACTCGTGTAGGCTAAATAAAATCGTTTTTATTTGGAATTATTAATATTTAATCCATAAATAAACAAATCTAGACCTTTTGGCTTTTATAAGGTTAGAAAAAATGAAAAGTAAAAAGATAATTTATAAATAAAATAGTCAACAGACCTATAAAGATATTTAAGTAAGTACATTCTTGAAAATGTCGTTAATAAAATGAGATTATTAGCAGCTATTCATAATATTGTGATTTTCTCAAAATTTCTGCTGTTTTCTGCGTGGGTTCATATGAATTCAGAATGAAGTTAAGAAGAAGAAGAAACGACCTTCAATAATATTGAACATGAACTTTTCACAGCAAAAGTTTTTTTTTGCAAAAACTTTGTCGTATTGCTCGAAATCTACGCAATCCAATAAGATTGCGAAAGTGTGTAACACGAAGAAAGTAAATGGTAAATATTTCAAAAATATTTGAATTTTCAAGTACTTTTCTTCTATTTATTCATAAAAGACACATGAATATATGGGAATGTGAGGAATCAATTTTAAATAAATTATTTCTAATGAAGTCATTTCCGAAGTTTGTCAATTAGAATGTGCACAAATTCAACCTTTACTTGATGTTGAGAGTCATAAATAAATAGCCTTAAAAACAAGTCAACCATGTTTGGATTTGGTAGAATCAGAGTTTGGTGAAGGTGGTTTATAAGCGTAATATAAAACGTTAGTAAGAAGTGATGAAATATCAAAAATTTCAATTCATCTTAAAATCTCAAGCACGATTAAGACATTATCCTTAAAAGTTTTAATATCGTGAAATAATCTCATTAAATGCGAGAAAATTAAAGGAAATGTGAAGTCATTATCACTAATTGATGAGCATAAGGTCTTCTAAAAGTTACTAGATCAGTAATTCTTCTAAGTATTCATTCAGTAGCAAAATAATTTATTGGATGTGCCAGCAACAAGTGTTACTATTAAGCTGTTAAACTTAATTACATTGACCTTTAATGAAAGCATATTAAGATGCAAGAAACGTTGAAGGTGTTTCGGTATAAATTTTTGCGAAACATTTTTCTAAGAATTTCAATTTTAACTTTCTTATATCATGGATAATTTATCTTCACTTTCGAAATATTTTGAGTCATATCGTTTTAAGTCTGTGTTCAAGTGTTGGCATCAAAAAAAAATTAAACAATAAATAAATAACATTTCGATTTTGTCTTGAAAAGGTAAACAATTGCGACAGATCTGGATATGCTTATCGATATGTTTCGGATTATTTGACCAGTAAAACATTTTTAAAAACGAAAAATATAGTGTTACGAAATATATGAACAACCCCCAAACTCAATTTTTCTCTGGTCTTTTAATTTTTATTAAGAATCTCTGGTTTCAAAATTGAAATCTGAGATATAAATCAACAAATGTCCTGAAATAAATGTTTTACTTTAAACAACGCAATTTTCTCAAAATTATCTTAACATTGCTTATCAAAAAAAAGCATCAAATTGAAAATTTCTTGGAAAAATTTAAAATAAAATAATTTTACAGCTTATTTCTCAGATTTATCTATTTTCTATCATAATATAAACAAAAGATTGGCGGAAGATTATCTCATTTCAGACATCGAATCTCATCATAATAATTTTGACATTTAAATATCTATTAATAAAATCTTAAGTCAAGATTTAAAAATTCTCAACCAATATACACAAATTTTCACAATATTCAACTTCTTTTAGGCATTAAAAATGCTTCATTAAACCATTTTTTATTTAAAATCCACGCACATGTTCATTGTTCAAATTTACACATTAAATCAAATTTTTAATATTTCATTGAAAATTAAATTTCATTTAAATGTCCAAAAGCAAGAAGAAAAAAAAGGCACTTTAGCTAATACAGAGTATTTTTCCTCTTGTGTGCAACTTGATCTTAAAGAAAATCTTTTAAATTAGTTTGAATGACAGCTTTCAAGCTTGAAAAACGCATTGTTGTACAAAGTGTGCTTATACACTGAAGTTATTTGAAAATTAATCTTTAAAGATTATTGTGGAGTCGGTTTACGCAAAACAATTAATAGAAACTTGAGGTAATTTGCTTTAAATACCAATAGAACAGAATTAATTAATTAATTTAAAAGCAATTATGTTAAGTGAAGCTTGCCTATGCTGATGAGATGTGAGCTAGTGTGGTTTAGGTGGCATAATGGCTTAGCGGTTCAGTATCTAATTATTGTGAAATTGATTGTAAGTTCGAGACTCAATAACGAATAATTCATAAACAAATACTTTATTTTTGAATAAACAAGCTAAAGAAATGTTTTTTTTTTGTGTAACAAATTGAGAGATCGACTTTTGTTGCGAGCTGAACCTAAGTCCACACAAAAGAGAGATTTCTGGTATATTGCTTGACCAATCGGTCACAGATTTTTTACTCGAGCATTGACAATCTAAATATAAATCGACATTACAGACTCTCATCACTCTCAGCATAAAATCACGGTTGAATCAATTGTTTCGTTTAAAAATGAAACTTTTTCTGCTTTTTTCACATGCCAGTTGCTGTGAAAATATCTATAGAACCCACAAAAAGTTTCACACTTTCCATAGACATTTTATTTAATTTTCCAACCATTTAAAGGGCTTCATTATAAAACACCAAAAGTGCTTTTTTAATGCTTTGTAAAATTCATTAACATTTTCAGCAAATATTGACTTTGAAATGAGAAGATGGTATCAGCAACAAGAACTAAGGTAACCATAAATTGTTTTTATTTGCATCCCCTCATGCGTACGTTAAAAAAATAAGCAATAAGACTTTTTTTTCGTAGAAATTGTGGATGGAAAAAAGTTTCGTCATTTATGGATATTTTTTTAAAGGAAACTTGTCAGCATGCTTTCATGGGATGTATGAAATATTTGGTCTTTAAAATGATGAACTTTATTGCTCGTTATTTATGTTTGACTGGAGTAAGTGTGAGATGACATGCTGAACATTCGTTGTGGATAATAAAAATGCGTTTTGGTCGTTCAAAAACAATTTTCAAAATCACTTAACTGTAAAATTTTTATGAAAACATTTTTTTATCATCTTCATGCTTACCTTCGTATCCCAAACACATGCTTTTTAGATTCTCGTTCCCGATTCAACAACGTTATTTCCTGTGATGAATTACGGAGTTTTTGAAAAGAAATCCCATCGTTTATTTTACATCTTTTCCTCGTAGATCCAGCATTTGAATAGACTTTTGGATATTTATTTAATTTTATAAGACATTCCATTTACGTGTAGACATAATCGAAGCAGCGGATATGAAGAAAAAAAAGAAAAATATTTATAAAGCGAAAGAAAAACAATCTCAAGCGACACAGATATCTATACAGCAACAAATGCCATACAACATCATGTGCTGCTCGGCAAGGGACATGAAATTTTCACATTACCTGATGCTTGTCTCACAATTTGCTTTTCAACATCCATACTTTGCCAAAGGGTACGTGATATCATTGTATAGGCAGCAGCTAGCATCACCAGTGGAAGTATCAATAATAAAACGTCAAGAAAAAGATTATAAATTTTTTCGTATCGTATCGGTTCCGTTGGCCACACTTCACGACACTTTTTATGTCCTATATAATGATTGATTTTTTCATTAGTCTCGTTAAGGCGACATAAATAATAGTCATATATGCATACCCAGACTCGTTGGAATAAGCTTGCTCAATGTCGCTATAGGCACCATAAAAAACAAACTTGCGATCCAAATTAAGATAATGGATTTATATGCGTGATTCAATGTTTGCCATCGTCTAGAACTTAGCGGATGACAAATTGCACAGTATCTTTCAACACTAATTGCCACTAAGGTCCACGCTGATACGCTTACTGATGTTGCTGTAATAAAAAGAAGAAATAAAAGTGAGAAATGTTAAAAGCTTTAATGTGCTTTCATTTGAGTGCATTTTATTAGCTTCGCGTGTACTTTTTTGTTACATTTACTTTTTTGTAGAGTCTTGAAGTGTGTTTTTTGGAAGTAAAGCTATTTACGGTGTTGTTTTGATGGTGTTTTGCTGTTTTTCACAGCATGATTTTGATTAAAAATTGATTATTTACGCGATTATTTTTCTACAAAGTAATGCCTACAAAACAATGAACCGCGGCATACAATTTAAGATCTACTGCTTGTAAATGACATTTAGAAGAAAATTGGATTTTTATAAACCTTAAGCAACGTAGTATTACAAGCTATTATTAAAATCTAGTGTCAAAACCTAGTATTAAAAATTAGTATTGCTACTTAGAACCAAAAGCTGGTTTCACAGAATACAATCATAACCCTAATAACTCAATTGAGTATTAAAACTAAGTTATAAATCAACAAATCATTTGACTCTTCACTTAAATCCATGATAATCCTCTAATTAGAGTCTAAATTGAATAAGAATTCATTTGGGTAATTCGGATTCTTTTAAAAAAAAATCCCTTTCATAAAATCCAATTAAAATGCTGCCAATTTAGTTGAAAAAATTAATTTTATGCGAATTAAGAGAGTAACAATGTCTGTTGTCTTGGTTGCTTGCAGATAAAAAACGATATTCTTATGCGAAACATTCAATTATTCAAAAATTTAATTAAGGCAAATAATTCAATTCACTTAACAATTTGTTTCAGGAATGTCTTCTTAGTTCTCGTTGCTTGGCAAAAAAAAATTATAGCATGATTTAAAAGCCATGAATTGAATTTTTGACCTCTCTTTCATCATATATGAGGTGGAGGGGATAGGGAGAGTTAATCTATTGATAGTATAGATTGACTTTAAATCCCTCTGATGGCTCCTCTTCTATAGGAGAACCACTCTTATTCTAACATCCGTGTATGCAAACAAAACAATTAAGCGACCCTTTATTTCTCAAGTGAATCGGAAATACTTTTTAAGTAGATTTTCAAAAAGCTCTTCCAAAGCTTTTAAAGATTTTCCTCTGAGAAATTACTTTTCAAATCTTATCCTTGCTAATATCTTTTTTGACCTCGTCCATGAACTGATGTCATTCGTCTTCATTATTTAGCCACACTTTTTCCTTTTAAAATTCTCTTCTTTCGACATATCAAAAGAATTTAGGGTTTTGAAAGAGTCCCAACAGACTGACAAATGGATGAAATTTAAGATTTGCTACTGAACCGTAATTTGACTTTATAAAATAAATTTTTCGCATTTTTTTATTCAAACCACAAAGGTACCAAATTTTTGTTCCTTTTCCACTTCTTTTTTCGCATTTTTTCACCTTCAAATAGCTTTTCGTATATCTTTGGTATGCCTTACAAATAACAAATATCAAGGATGAATGTGTAAATAGCTTTAGTCAATTCACGTAGCATTCGTAGAATTTGCAGTCATTACGTTCGAAGAATGGGTTTTCTACTATGATGAATCTCTTGATGTGGTTCAGTGCTTGCTCAAAGCTTAATAACCGAATGTGGTACTTTTCTGTTTGAAAAGCTCTCTCACATTTTCAGCTTTGTAAGCTGATTATCTTTGACTAAATGGTTCAAATGTGATGAATGGTTTGCTTTAGCAATTTTCATTTGCTTCATTCGTGTGTTCATTTAGACGTCACAAGTGAATGACGCCTAATGTGAACTATCTCAGAAATCTAGGTTAGCTAACCCAATGCTGCAGAAAATGCTCTAAATCCATGCCAAAATAAATATGAAGACAACAACGAAACAACACATGTCACCCCTTCTCTATTCTTTATTATTTTTGGCATTAGAGACTATTCTTTTGTCGATTATGGAATTTAGTTTTAGAAGTTTACAAACCTCATTCTTTCATTCATTCCTTTGTCCTCATTCCATTTCTAAAAAAGTATAACCGAAATATCTCTGAATTATTCAAAGCATATTTTACCATAATAATTTAGAAACGGTGTCTCACACTTCTCATCTACTTCAATATTTACACAGTCAACACATAATAGTCGGTATTATATAATTCATATCCCATCTGGAATTAGGGATACACGCTCTGTTCCCTGAGTTATTCCTAACAAATATTTCTTGATTGTTAAATCACGGAAATGTTACTCAAAATTCTTTAGGGATGCAGAGCATTGCTCGATGAACAGGAAATCATTGAATATTTAAAAAAATTCTCATTATTTGCTCTCGTGTGGATTATGTCACCGCAATAATTTATCTAAATGTGGAAATGCGATATGAAATATTTCATTGGATATTAAATCAAGTGCGGCTTTATACACTCATATTTTACCACATGTGATATTAATTCCACATAATTGCTATCTTGAGCAATTAGAATTTCAATATCACATTTTGGATGTCGTATTTTCATAGACCATAATGTGGGTTTTTGCTATGGCAATCATTAAATTATTTCTTATCAATGTTTACCCAAAAAATTTCCACATAATCTTATAATATTAATTGAATGCTTTCGCAATTCAAAAGAATATTCTTTTAATGACGTACACATTAAGAGTTCCTTAGGGAATTAAAAAACTTTTTTTGATGCCTTTATTCACGAAACGAAAAACGCGCAATTCCCATTTTCTCATTAAAAATATGTTTATAAGGAATTTATAGCTTTTTTCGTGAAAATTGAGTTGTGAAAATTATCAGGTGGTGGAAAGGAGTGTGTAGAAAAAACATGTGAAGATTTTATTTTAGGGTTTTAAAAGGAATTGCATTGAATTGCAATTGAATTAATTCAATCAAGCAGATTTTTTTTTACCTTTTTACAGTACACAATGATCATGCTTAGGGGTTTCGGACGAAAAAGTGTCAAAATTAAGACATTTAAATTGAAAATAAGCTGAATAAGACATGATTCAAGTTTAAAGCTTTGCATGCTGATGAAAATTCTTCATTATTCTAAAATTGTTCTAGATTGTTTCCTTTTTAAAAGCCACTGCAAACCCCAGCATAATAAAACTTGTAATATCTGCTAGCTTTTAGCTGTATTATAAAAATTCATTAAATGTTGAGCTAAATCCAGGTGGTTAAATTATGCCTTAAATGCCAAAATTTTTCTCTGAACCCCTAACTTCAATAAACTGTGATGACTCAAAATAAGTTTTGTACAGCTCGGGACTCATCACATGAAAAAATAAACTTTCCTTTATTCATCTTTATGATAGAAATGATTCTGGAGTGTTTTTCTTCCTTAAACGAGGCATTCTATTGTGCTCCTGCTTGCTAATTAATAATACAAAAGCTAATCTACATATTAAACATAATTATCATTTTCCGAACAATATCATTCGACTGAAGGTCGTTCAGTTTCTCTGGAGTAAATATCTCATCAAAAATTCATGATTTATCCTGCGAGTGGAACATTTGGGCATTTTTTGGAATATAATATGCTTCGTGCCGTGCTCTCCATTAATTCATTTTTTTTTTCATTACCATTCAGTGGCGTAGCAAGGTTATTTGGCAATTGAAATTTAATAAATAATTTTCAGGTACTCGTATGAGATTTCGCATTTCTTTTGACTCTTTTGTGCAACTTTTGCATGACTAAGATCCCCTTGCTACGATACTGTTACAATCTATCTGAAAATGAAAGTAATTGATGAGATTTGACAGCTGAAATAATAAGAGTGGGTATTGGATGTGATGGAATTTTGGATCGATTATTAAAAATCATGACAGTATGATAATTAAAGAGTACGAAAAAGGTCGAAGCTACTGATGAAAACAGCTTTTAAATATTATCGGATATACGATAAAGAATCCAAGATGAGCAGAAAATGGAAATGATTTTTTTTTATCTTCTCGGGAATTTTTAATATTCTTTATTTTATGAATTTAAGAGGAAAGGAAAATAGCCTCAGGAGCTTGAGATAATTCAAATTATAATAGACTTCCGAGCCATTTAAAATTCCATTTTTTTTTTTGTGGACGTAAACTCAGAAAAGTTTCATAATATGAATTTATGATCGTCCTTCATTCTATCCAAAACCACATGTAAACTTTTCCTGTTGTCATTTAATTAAATAAATACCTTAACACACTTGAATAAGGGTCAGTCTATAAACTTTTCCATTTCCTGATTCATTTTTTTGGTTTTTATTTCAAGATAATTTTTAATTTACTAAAGTTTTCTTTAAACTTCTTTATTTGATGACTTGAAATACAAATGAAGTCTCAAATTTATTGAGGGGATAAAGATTGTAATGTATATTGTGCCAGTAAATTGAGGCTTAAGGAATTGGATTAATGGTAATGAAGAATTATGTTCGGAAAAAGTATACAGTTTTCTTTGGTTTAATTTGATTTTCAAAATGGCGCCTTTTAACACTTCGAAATTTATTTCTTTGAAATTATCACCAGAGATTCTTAATTGCTATTTGCAAAGTTGAAAATTGTGTATTAAAAGTTAGCAAAAGTTGTTTCTTTGTAGTGTCAAGCTAATTTATGATTTATTTCAAGAGTTACATTAAAATTCTTATTCAAATTTATGAATCAAAATTCAAAATTGTGGGTTTTATGAATAGCAAATTTTTGTTTGCTATTTTTGATGAAAATTCATAAAAAGTGTCTGAAAAACTTGTGTATATTATCAAAGCACAGTCAATTTTTCAACATTTAAATAAATTTGAATTTTGCGTTTAAATAATTCAAAATAAAACCACTTTTTATTAAATTGTAAAATACTAATTTAAAATAGATTATATTCAAATTTTAAAAGTATGGAGCATCGCAAAAACTTATTTCTCAGAGGGTTGATTTCCACTTTTTTGGATAGATTTATGCAACACAAGACTTTTGAAAAATGATGAATATTGTAGTAGCTCAGTAGTAAAGCCAAAAGTGAAGAAGAGTAATTAGTTCTGGATTCGCCTAGCTATAATACATCAAATTATTAACCCCAT